TCAAGACGTTGCGATCCGACAACGGTGGTGAGTATACTTCTGACCCCTTTCAGCAGCTATGTCGAGACGAGGGCATAGAGAGACACTTCACAGTTAGTCATACACCGCAGCAAAATGGGGTGGCAGAGAGGTTGAATCGGTCTTTACTGGAGAAGATCCGATGCTTATTGTCGCAGAGTGGTTTGGAGAAGATCTTTTGGGCTGAGGCACTTACATATCCGAGCCACCTCATTAATAGGCTTCCTTCATCTGCGATTGAGGGGAAAACCCCTATGGAGATGTGGTCGGGAAAGCCAGCACATGACTATGACCAGCTCAAGGTATTCGGGTGCCCTGCATATTATCATGTTAGAACTGATAAATTGGAACCTCGAGCTAGGAAGGCCATATTTGTAGGATTCAAGCGTGGTGTCAAGGGATACAAGCTTTGGGATCCAGTGGATAAGAAGATTGTGCTGAGTAGGGACGTCACGTTTGATGAAGCTTCTATCTTGAAGCTTTCCAGCTCTCATCAGGTGGAGAGCGATCCGACGGAGGAGATATCGCAGGTGGTGGAGATCGATGCAGCTTCACATTGTCCAGATGGTACAGTATCTATGCAGGTGCCGACTGAGGTGACGCCAGGCGAGCACGACGGTGACACGGAGGATACGAGTACAAATGTGCAGGATCAGGAACCGACGGCTCAGGTTCAGGATTCTATTGCGGCTAGGAGACAGAGGAGAAACATACAGATGCCAGCACGGTATGCCGACACAGTTGCGTATGCACTTCCGGTGGAGAGTATCGATGAGTTAGTGCCTACTACATTCAGAGAGGCCGAGCAGAGTTCGGAGGCTGATTCGTGGCAGGTGGCTATGCAGGAGGAGATGGAATCTCTTCATAAGAACGATACATGGGAGCTTGTTGAGCTTCCAAAGGGGCGGAAGGCAATTGGTTGCAAGTGGGTATACACGAAGAAGGAGGGCATTGAAGGCACTCCGTTGAGATTCAAGGCTAGGTTGGTTGCGAAGGGCTATGCACAGGAGGAAGGTATTGACTATAATGAGGTTTTCTCTCCGGTGGTAAAGCATTCTTCGATTCGGATTTTGCTAGCTTTAGTGGCACAGTATGGTTTGGAGTTAGATCAGTTGGATGTGAAGACGGAATTTCTTCATGGTGATCTTGATGAAGAAATATATATGACTCAGCCATTGGGATTCCGAGCTGCAGGGAAAGAAAAATTAGTTTGCAAACTGAAGAAATCGCTATACGGTTTGAAGCAGTCTCCTCGACAGTGGTATAGGCGATTTGATGGTTTTATGCTTGGTCATTCGTACACTCGGAGCCAGTTTGATCCTTGCGTATATTTTCGCAAGTTGAAAGGAGGTGCGTACATCTATTTGTTACTTTATGTCGATGACATGTTGGTTGCCTCTACTTCCAGGTCGGCTATAGATGAATTAAAAGTTCAGCTTTCAAATGAGTTTGAGATGAAGGACTTGGGTGAGGCGAAGCGCATTCTGAAGGCTCCATATGCGAGCGCGGTTGGGGGCTTGATGTACGCGATGGTATGTACGAGGCCAGATTTGTCACAGGCGGTAAGCATGGTATCGAGATACATGCACGATCCAGGAGTGGGTCATTGGGACGCCGTGAAATGGATTTTGAGGTACATTCGAGGTACGCTCCATGTTGGTTTGGTTTATGAGCGGGATACTACAGGTGGGCAGCTATGCATTGGTTATGTTGATTCGGATTATGCTGGGGATTTGGATAAGCGCCGATCTACGACGGGGTATGTGTTCACTTTGATCCGTGCGCCGGTGTGTTGGAAATGCACCTTACAGTCGACGGTGGCTTTGTTTACGACGGAGGCAGAGTATATGGCAGTTACGGAGGCTGTGAATGAGGCTATTTGGCTTCGAGGACTTTTGGAGGAACTTGGTATATCGCAGAGGTCCGTCACTATTCATTGTGATAGCATGAGTGCTATCTATTTGGCGAAGAATCAGGTTTTTCATGCGAGAACGAAGCACATTGACGTTCGTTATCACTTCGTTCGGGATGTTCTTGAAGATGGCGATGTGGAGATTGTGAAAGTCCACACGAAGGATAATCCGGCGGATATGCTCACTAAGGTGGTTCCGAGCAACAAGTTTGATCATTGTCGAAACTTGTTGCACATTCGTAATTGTTGAGGCCGTTGGCGGCCATTTGGGTGAACTACGTTCGGCTTGATTCCTTGGGCAAGAGGATACGTAGGCAGTCTTTCAGATGCAGCCGGTTTGGATTAGTTGATTTTTTATGGGGGTGAGATTGTTTGGACTCTCGTTCGGGTTCTCGACTTGTTGTGGATTGAGGTCGTACTGGACATAACAAGTGGGACATTTGGTTGCTTTGGTGTCGGCTCAGTTTTGAGAAAACTTCACCGAGGTGGAGAATTGTGAATGCGAGTGGGGACCACGGGCATTAGCTGGGCAAATACCAATGATTGGGCAAAGGGAGCTGGGCAAATTCCAATGATTGGGCAAAGGAATTTGTTTCACATGAAGAGAAACAAGGCCCACCCGAGATAATTAAACCACAACTTATAAATACCCATGCTAGGGTATTTTTCGGAGTTGTGCGGGAGATTGTGCAGGAGATTGTTTTGGGTGCTTTTGCGGCTACAGTGCTGGAGGCAGAGCCGTCATTATTTGATTTTTTGGTTTTGTGCGGTCCCTTTCTTTAGGGTTTTGTACATCCTTTTGTAGAGAGAGTTTGTGAGGGATTTGAGAGTTTGTTTGAGGGTTTAGGTTGTGAGTGATTGTAAACCCTAGTTGTATTCTCTCCCTCTATTAGTAGATCTCCCCCTCCTTGCCTCGTGGACGTAGGCAATTTGCCGAACCACGTTAAAATTGGTTGTACTGCTTTTGTGTGATTTGTAATAGGTTTTAGGGTCCCTCGACGCGCAGTCCTAGAGCTGACGAGAGGAAGAGCTAATATCCTACTTTGATAGGATATAGGCTTCAGATTCTTGTTTCCTTTGAGAAACAAGAATTCTTATTGCGACCTGACTCTCTTGTTGTGCTGCCGAAGTGCTGCCGAAATTTCCGCTGCGCGCAACATAAGGCCGATAGTTTCAACTTAGAATTAATAGTGCAGGATCTGATTAGTTGCTGCAGGTTTAAAACACCATCACAAAGATTCAACACTTTATCACGAACTTTTAAGAGCTGTTTCCATATCCATGAATCCCCAACCTTAAGTTAATTAATGTTAAGGTTGAGCAATGTCAAATTGTGAAGGTATTTTGAGTTTCTGTTGCAGTCTTGTTCTCTTTTATTTCATTTTTTAAGCATCCCAGTTAAACTCGGCTAATTCTTGTGTTAAGAGATCCACTTGGTCATGAAATTACGTAATATTGATATGGAAAATTAATTATATTAGAAATTATGACCGACAACAAAGGGTGGGGATGCTTCATGTACTTCCAAGCAAGAATATTTAATGTGTCTAATATAATGCATCTGAACATTGCTCATGCTTATTATATATGGATTATGGGACTTTATATTGTTTCTTTATAATATCATAACAAAACGGAGTAACAAATTATATGGAACTTTAGGTGTACGCTTATTGCAAGTGCCCCTCGTTACTGATCAAATCCTATAAGCCAAGAAAAAAGAAAAAGTTACGGTTTATTTTGCATTTGTTTGTGTATGGGGGGAAAGGAACATGCTATGGGGCAATAATTAAATACATGTGATACAATTCTATTGACACTGATAGCTTCAAATCATCGAATATTACAGTTTGGTTTATAAGAATTTTGGTAATTGCCGTCTATATATCATTGTTCATTACGCATTGGTGTCTTCTATACATTTAAGTGTTTGCATGAGGAGCTTTAATTAGTGGTTGCGCTTCATAATGTCCAGTAGCGTCAGACTATTTTATACATATTTTTATTTATTTTACTTGTATTTACTATCTAGGACTTCATTGAAATTACGGTAGGTCACCATTAAAAAGTATAAACTTTGGTAAATAACCAATGTAGATTCCAAATACAGGCATGATAAATTATATGAGGACACAACGGAAACAAAATCATGGCTCCGTCACTGGTTTTAAAAAAGTTTTTCGCCTACTTAGGGAGAGAATGGAAAAAGATAGATGGATTATTTTAATCATTTTGCTACATTCCGATCATTTTGTTACATGCTTTGAAGTTGCATGAGAAAATTGAGAGACCTATTGCAATTGATCCTGGCCTCTTTTCGCCATCTAGCTCTGTTAGTGAACAAAATCATGACCCTCAACTCCATCATAAATTCAAAAGTAAGATATATCAGAAGGGACAATATTAATATGATATCAAAGTAATTCAAAACCAAACCTCATGAATCCATTTTAATTAAAATGGGTTCTAGAAAATGAAATACATTGTTGCATAAAAAAATCCAGGTTTAAGTCATGAGAGCTTTAAGAACCTGGTTTAGATAACCACGAAGATGACAAAAATCTTTGGAGTATATGGATAAATATTTCTTCAGTGCATATTATATGCACTGATTTCCTACTAAGAATCACCTTAATGAGAATACTAATTAATATATGTGGGTATGTAATTCATATTAAGTATCTATATATAGATAACATAGTTTAAAGGGCCCTTAAGTTTTTCCTTTATCCTAAGAAGTTAAACTTTTTATTTTTGACAAAGAAGCCCTAAAGTTTTGCCCTTCTCTTCTTAAAAAACTCTTAACTCTTTGTGACAATGAAACACCTAACTTTATTATTATTATTATTTTGGTAAGTGAAAATTTTTATCTCATCAACAAAATGAAGAATTATGTACATCAATGATACTGGAGCTTAGAGACAGAGCTCAGCTAAAAAAACTCCTTAAGGAGTAAAAAGAACCACATCTTCATCCTATTACAAAACGAAAACCAAAAACCTGCACATATTATGCACAGTATGTCTACACTGTTTGTGCACCTTCTTTGCCTCTACAATGGATACTTTTCTCAGCACAAGGAGAGAATCCATTCCCTGTCTTCAGCCGAAGGGGAACCATTCAGAAAAGCAACTAGGATGTCCATCTTTATATTCTTGATTAAAACATCAGGAGCTCTATTCTTCAACTTAAACATCCTGTTATTCCTCTCTCTCCAAATGTTATATACTACAGCAGCCAACGCCATGCTCTTAATTTTTTGCTTAATACATTTGCCCCTCAGTCTGAAACTATACCAATTCAATAGGGCAGACCAATCACAAGATCTCCATTTGAATTTGAGCCACTCCATAATACCATTCCACACAAAATTTGATAATTTGCACTCAAAAAAGAGGTGATTTCTGCTCTCTGAAGTACCATCACATAGTTTACAAACAGAAGCTTGAATAATACCATGTTTGAGAAGTCTGTCTTGAGTTTGAAGTTTGTCATTGACTGTCAGCCACAGGATAAAAGAGTGTTTAGGATAGCACAAATTTTCCCACACAGTATCATGCCATGCCACATGAGTTGTACTAGGTGATAAACTAGAATAAAGACCAGAGATCTGGACTTTAGAATTGACACAGCAAGAATTGATAAGCTGTTTGAGGTTTTCAATCCCTCCACACAAAACAAGGCATTTATCTCTGACTTTCAATAGTTGTTTCCACATCCAAGAATCCCCCTTCTTAGCATTTACCTGCCATATGTTGTTGTTCTTTAGGTAGTTCTCATGTGGCATTTATCCCTAGTTTTGTTGGAATAAATTTATTTATTTATTTATTTAACATGGATAATTGTTTTTAGAATGATTACCTAACTTTATTTTCCTCTTATAAGAAGTCCCTAGTTTTTCTTAGAAGATTTTTTTTAAAAAAAAGACTATTTTCAAAAAAACAATTAGTAAAAATGACATTTTTGCTAAATAATAAGGAAAATCGACCTCTTTTTGGCCAGCTCACAAAGGCTGGCCAAAAAGAGGTCGATTTTGTAAAATTTAGTGTTGAAAACACACGGGACTATTAGTCCTGTGTATTTAACATTCACTAATCACCTAATGTAGAACACATAGAAGACACGTTTATGTCAAAGTGGGATAGTCGCAAGCCTAAATGCGGGCCTGGTCGAAGAAAATAACTTGTTTCGAAGAAACGACCGTAACTTTCAAACCGTACGTCGGAATTGGAAGAATTATATATAAAAATCGACTATCTCGACTGATCTCTGCATATCTATTCAATAGATAGTCTAATTCAAGAATGTAAAGAGTAATTAGAGCCTAGGCCCATGGTTGATTAGGCGATAAAATATAAATTCAAGTTGGATTATTCATTGACCTGACAAGTAGAAGCCTTAATTGACATTTTTTTGTTAATCTACATAACATATCTATCATATTTAAATTGTTCATCTATTTGCCTGGTTTTGCTAAGTGAGATATACATGTGACGCCCCTGGGTTCACACAAGGCTGCAGTCCAAGATAAAACCAAGAATGGCAAACCTGCTATGCACCACACCGTGCAATAACATGTTTCACCATCACAATTCTATCACTCTAGTAGAGTCAATAACATGTGTAGGTACAAAAGCAAGTAAAAGATAATACAAGAGATAATTGATGAAATGATAGAGATCAAAATAATATTTTATCATCCAACATACAGAAATACAAAGTCAATGTCTGACTGATGAAATGATAGAGATCAAAATAATATTTTATCATCCAACATACAGAAATACAAAGTCAATGTCTGAAATGAATAAACTGGAGTTCTTAACAAGTCTCAAATACAACAAGTCTGAGTAAAGGAAATAAGGCATACAGCCTTTACAACATCTATAACATAGTCCTCGACTGTCTAACAAAAACTACAGTGGAGCTCCAAAATAAAGCATAGCTAGAATAGATAGTTGAACACTAAAGTGTGTCGCCATCAACCTGCGACTCTCCGGGCTCCTGGCTCGTTACCTGAAGGGGGGGGGGACAACGAGCGTCAAAACGCTAGCGAGTAACATCACAACCAACCCCAAGGGAGAGGGCTCGTTGTATATGAAAAATATAGTTATCACAAAAAATATATATATATATAATTAATTTGTCCTAAGAATAATGGGTTTTAGTACTTAGAAAATTTCAACACGAGCATAGGTACGTCGAGCGAAATAATCCAAATAAGGAAACCCTCATGTATATACCTTGTATCTCAAATTGAAAATCCCTAAGTACCAAACCCGGAGTCTAATACATGAACATAAAAGAAAAGACAACAATCCCATCTCTACCAATAATCACAGTTATGTCAAAGGTGCAAAATTGCAATAAGTGTCATACTCAGCCTAGGTAGCTATCATGTCCTAACTTTATCAAATATGTCGTGTTCCAAACTCAAAAAAGAATCATGCTCAAGGTTTAGCAAAAATGTCCAACACATGGACTAAAAGTAATGCATGTCCAACACATGGACCAAGATGATAAGTATCCAACACATGGATTAATAATAATGTATGCTCAACACATGGACCATGAACAAAGAAGTGTAATTGTCACTAGCATATGTAGAAAGGTATACATATCCCACTCTTGCACGTGTTTCAATGTGCGGGTCTAAATTCGTGTCAAAAGTCAACCCCCATGTGTAGATAAGTCACTAACATCGCAAACTAGTGGGAGATAAATGAGGTGATCTCTCGAACACGCGAAAAGATCAACAATAAGTCAGTATGCACAAAACTGTGCAGCGGTCGACCGCAGAGACCACTCTGGTCGACCGCTCACAGAGCCGAGATTCACTGGGCTCAAAACTGAGCAGTGGTCGACCGCAGAGATCACTCCGATCGACCGCGAAAAGAGCAGAAACGAGTTCTGCTCAGCAAACACCCAGCGGTCGACCGCCGCGTCCACTACGGTCGACCGTGAATGAGTCCTCTACGGTCGACCGTGAAGTAGACAGAAGCCCAGTTAGGGTTTCTGTCAGTTTCGAACCACATACGAATTGATGATTTCTTCACTAGGGTAAATCTAACATTTTGAATATATCATATGATAGAAAAACAACGAATTTAAACCTTTAAAACCTCATTACCAAGATCCCAACATATATAAACATGATTTAAACGTTTTTAAAACAGTAAAAACATGATTTTTACTTTTGCTAAAACATTTTCAGATCTAGATCTCATTAATAAAAGCTTTAAAAATCTGAAATACTTTATCCTCACATCTTATGCCATAATGATCTACTATATCTACATAAAATACGATTTAGGCCCAATAAACCGGATTAAAACCTAAATAAAACATGAAAAATCAAAAGGGGTGAAGTTTGGCGAGATGTTACTCGCCTCTGATGAGAAAAGAACCCTAGATCTGAAAGATGATGATCCCTTTCGCTGAATCCCACCAAAATCCGCTGAAAAATCCTTCAAAGCTCCTCCCAAATCACCAAGAAATAAGAACTAGGGTTTTAGGGGAGAGAGAGGAGCTAGGGTTTCTGATTTCAGATGAAAAGTGGCTCTCTTGGGTTCATTAGTATATATACTAACCCCACAACCCGACCCGAAACCCGTTAAGACCCAAACCCAGGAAAACTCTCTGTCTGTTGGGCGGTCGACCGCAACGCCCAGTCCAGTAGACCGCACAACAGGAAAAAGATTTCCTGAGTGCACGATTGCTGTGCGGTCGACCGTCGCGTCCTCTGCGGTCGACCGCTCAGTAGGAAAAAGCCTGCCTAGATTGATTTACAACATGATGCTCAAAATATATATATATATATAATTATTTATCACAAAGGAATTATTTATTACTAATAATTGACATATATTCATTATAAAAATTTTGGGGTTTTACAATACATCACCTATTTTATTTTCCTCAAGGCAGTGATCTCTGCAACATGAGGCGTATTTGCAGTTTCCCTTTCAATATTACACGGACAACTTATATCTTTGATTAATACCGATTGAGGTGAGTGTAGAATGAGGAACTGTGAAATTAAGATAATTAGAACAGAGGACAATATGATATCATGTGATTCATGTGAGTACTGGATGCACATGACATGTTATAACTAGAGCATGTTATATCATAATGTGGTCTAAACCAAAATTTAGAATTCCAATTTTGAGAAGGCTTGCATAATGATGGTTGTATGACTATGAATCTGTCTAGTTGAATTTTTGCGCAACGTGCGAAAGCTCATTTTTAATTTTGATTTATAGCTTGGCTTGACACTGTATTTAGATTTAAGCTTCAAAGATGTTGTATACTTTTTGTATTGTTTGTGGTATGTTTTTTACAGATAAAAGATGAAGAACTTTACGGAAGAGTTCAGTGGAGAAGAAGATGAGGGTTTAGTTCAAAGAAGATATTATTGTGGGTTAATTTGCAAAATATGGATGTGCAAGCAAGGACACAATAAGAGCTTGGAATATTATGGATGCCCGAGATACAAGGGACCTAATTACAAGGGTTGCAACTTCTTCGAATGGGTTGGTGATAACAAGAACATCACAAAAAGGCTGGAAAGGCTAGAAAAAAATAATGAGATTTTGAAAAAAATATTGAATGATGTAATTTTATATTTAAAATTTATAAGTATCATCGTACTGATATTGTTGCTCTGTGTTATAGTCAAATGACTGAGGAACATATTAGTGAATGACTGATGTATTTAAATATCCTATTGAAATTGGTTCAGTTGTTATAATTATTTGCTATACTTTCCCCTAATACCTTTTGAGTTTGCTGAAAAGAGTTTGCTGCCTTGAGTTTGTTTTCTTAAGTTTGCTGTCTTGAGTTTGCTGACTTAGTTCTTCATAGATTATTTCTTAACAAACGCGTGCTATCAATGGAGAGTTCCTGCAAAAGATTATTTCTTCATAGAACTAATTAGTATTTTCCTGGGCTTCATAGAACTAATTATTTCTTCATAGAACTAATGTTGAAAGATTATTTGAGTTTGTTGTATTTTCTAATATGTTCAAGAACAAACAGGCAAAGCTCAAAAACAAACAGGAGACTAAACTCTAAGCATGTGTTTTGTTTAGTGCGGTGATCCCCATCAACTTATAGTATGCCTTCTGATGCATTCACAATAATATTACCAACACAAATTTTTAAAGGGTAGGCTCAGAAAAGCAGTAGCAATTTTTGCAGCAACACAAATTCTGATGCATTCACAATAATATTACCAACACATGACGTATAGCTTCAGATTGAGGAAAACCAAAAACCGAACCTGAAAACCATCTAAAAGTGTCACTTAAACTATAAACAAAAACATTTTGCTATACCTTCTACCGAAAAGATGGAACTAAACAACCTGGTCCATAATCAATTTAAGTACAAAATAAAGAACTATGAAAATTTTAGAAGCGCTAGTGGCAACATCAGCCATCTTCTACCAACACATGACGACTATTACCAACAAATTCTGATGTCAACGTACCAACACAAAAGATACAAAAACTCAACCCAAAAATACAATCACACCTCAAAAAGCCCCAACATACACAGATACATAACGACTTCAACCCCTTCTCACCAATAATGTTATGATTTGCTCTGCCAACCTTAATCAAACTTCATGCAATAGTGAGAACTTCATCTGTATTAAAAAAATAAAAAGCAAAGTGCTTCATCACATTAAAAAATCATATTATATAACAAAATGGCAATGTACAAGTTATTCCGTATGTATTAACCATTACATTCCTCAAAAGAATCTTCTAAATCATCAGT